AGTTGCGCGCGCAGCCGCCATGTTCGAAGCTGCCGCTCTTGCGTCTGCGCATGCGCAATCCTCGCGCTCTGATTGGTCCGGCGTTTTTCCTTCATAATTCGAAAACGGAGCTTCAAATCTAATTTTTGCAAAGGGAAATTTTATTCAGAATCGCATCAACTATCTCCCATTTTAGGGACCTACACTAATTGTGAGACACCCTGTAACATTACTGAGATTATGATTAAGCGTATGACTGATATTAATACAAATAGTTGACGCTTTTATACTTTGTGATGAAAGAAGAGTAAAACATACTTAGACAAACGAAAGCATCAAGTAAGAAGTTATGACTGATTAAAATTATAGTTATAACTGAAGATTAATATGACTGATATTAATATCAATGGTTGACGCCTTTATTCTCTGTGCCAAAAGAAGAATAAAACATATCTAAATAAACGAGAGCCTCAAATAAAAAATTGCGATTAAGATTATAGTACTCCCATTAATACCAACAGTTGACGCTTTTATTCTCTCATGCCAAAAGAGTAAAAAACACCTAAATAAACATCAACTAAAAAAGTTGTGACTATGAATAAAATTACCTAAACGATATCACCAACCTTTTTCCACACCAAAAGTCCCCAGATAAGTTTCGAATTAAATAAACGAATCGAGTGAATATGAAGAGGACCTATCGCAAACGATTCACGATTGTCGAGTAGAAAAAAACGCGGAAGGAACGTGGCAAAACGAGTAGAAGAAGAAGAAGAAGAAGAAGAAGAAGATGGTCGGCTCACTATTTTTGGAGGAGCATCTCTCCTCCAAGGCCATCGAGCGATCTTTTTCTTTTCTTCCACGAAGTAATTTTTTGATGGCCAAGGAAAGACCGCCGGCTTCCGACATCGCGTGGAATAAAGAAAAAAAGGTGCAAAGGAAGTATGTCATCGCGTATTCCAAGGCTCCACGGATTCTACGATAGTCGAAACTGAAAGAGGTTCTTCACTGAAAAGAAGCGACGATTTCGGTGGAATAATGAGCGTTATTAACGGTGTATGAAAGTTACGGCACTTGGGAATGATATTCTATTTGGCGAGTTTTTTCAATGTGCTCCTCTGTTAGATATTTTCGGAAAGACATTTAATTCTTTGTGGAATTTTCTTTGTTCTTTCAACTTCTATTTCGATCAAATTATTCTGTGAGCGTTATATCCTCATTTTATTTTGAAACAATTCCCCTTTCTGTCTATAAAATTGAAAAATACACGTGCGGTTCTTAATTCGTCTTAAGCGTACAAAGATGACCTATCACGAAACTGTAGGTGTAATTACCGCTCGTGAAGCAAAAATTAACTCCGTGTTTTAACTATTCTTTCTTTTGTTGTGCGGGTGCATTCAATGGTTACCATGCTACACCGGTGTCTGATAGATTTCAACGTAATTTTAATATTCATATACTTAGCTGCCATTCTCCGTTGAATTATTGCATGTGATTACAGCCTCATCATTATCCGAAATGACGAGTTTCCTGAATTTCACGTTACGAGGTTCAATTGAATCCATGCATAATAGTTATTTAAAGACATTTTAATAGACATAATATAAGATACGTAGAGAAATTTTTTTTGGTATTAATTGAATCGTTTCTGTATGCTTCTGTATTTTATAACATAACAGTTTATGATATGAATTTATAACATGAATAGTTTATGATACTTTTACATTAAAGAACTGTTTGAGAACCTTTTGTAGATTGTCTACCAGTTATCGAACTGGTAATTACATGACTGGTACTTATCAGAGGTAATTGTAGTATAGCAAATTATCGGACTGGTAGTTATCTGTCAGATGATTAATTGTAATAAAATTCTGACACGGATATATGTTTGTACCGAGGTGGCAATATCGAGTTAATTGAAAAAGATCGATACCGATTTTTGCACAGAATCCTCGCAATATTCGGTCCCATCGCTACTAATAACCACACTAGGCTACGTGCACGCCAGCTAAACAACTAAACAACGACAGCTCGTAATTTGGTTCAAGGCTACTCGTCGTCGCCAGCTCTGCGGAACTAATCTCGCGTTGCGTGGCGTGACTTGGCGTGGCGACTAGAACACCACAGACAGGGACCTGGTGAATGGGATGAAAAGAGGGAACGAGAGCTAAGAGGAAGAACAGTAACGATGAACGCGATGAAATCTGAAAGGAAACGAAGCGGAAAAACGGTATGGTATAATGGTAACTGGGATAAAAATGGTTAGTATTTTCAATGGAGAAAAAGGTGTAAAAAATGTAGAATATTTTGTACTCGAACTTGTGTCTTGTACAAGTCTTTGAATGTACTATTTTAGTTTGTTGAATAGGAGTTAGATTGTTATATGTGGTTTTGCCTCGCGTTATATTGCCATGCTGGTGTTCTCACGGGTTATATTGCCATTTATTAAATTGACACGCGTTATATCGCCATATGAAGGTATCGTCAAGCTTGATATCACTAAACGTGGTATTCTCACGCATTAACTCATCACGCGCCGTAGTATTACACGCTATATTGCCACGCGTTATATTGCCACTCGCGTTATATATCACGAATTGAATTACTACGCGTTATATTGCCACTCGTTAGATCGACACGCGTTAGATTCCTACATATTGTATCTCCACGCATTAGATTTCCACGGGTTATATTCCCTCGCGTTATATTGCCATGAGTAGTATTACAACGCGTGGTATCGCAACAAATTAGATTACCACGCGTTATATCGCCACATATTACATTACAACGCGCTGTATTACCAAGAATTAAGTTACCTCGCGTTATATCGCCATGAATGGTATTACAATGCATTGTATTGAGATATATTAGGTTACCACGCGTCATATCGCCATATATTGCATTATCAAGCGCTGTATTACCACGAATTAGATTACCTCGCGTTATATTGCCATAAGTAGTATTATAACGTTGTATCGCAATAAATTAGATTACCACGCGTTATATCGCCATATATTACAGTTCTACGCGCTGTATTACGACGAATTAAGTTACCTCGCGTTATATCGCCATGAGTAGTATTATACTGCGTTGTATCACGATATATTAGATTACCACGCGTTATATCGCCACATATTATTTTACCACGCGCTGCTTACTACGAATTATATTACCTCGCGTTATATTGCCATAAGTAGTATTACTACGGATCGCATCGTGCCTCATTAGATTACCACTCGTTATATCGCCAGATATGAAATTACTGCTGTATTACTACGAAATATATTACCTCGCGTTATATTGCCATAAGTAATATTACAACAGATCGTATTGTACTTCATTACATTACCACCCGTTATATTGCCACATATGAAATTACTGCTGTATTACCATAATTTACATTACCTCGCGTTATATCGCCATGTAGTATAACAACGCGTCCTATTAACACGAGTTTTCCATTACGTTATCAGTACGTGTTATATCACCACACGTTGTTTCGCCGCGTGTTACAGCGTGACACGTTGCATGGTCACGCGGCGAGTCAAAGAGAAGAAAAACGGAATGCAGACTCGCGGAATCGGATTGACCGAGTTTCTCAGTTGTCGCGTAACGAAAGCGGAAGTACCGTAAAGGGCCGTGCGTTAACAGAAGAGGCTGGTTTGAAATCGGACTTGGGACGATTTCCGTTAACGGTAGAACCAGTTCT